AAGTGGAAGGAGCAATTAGATCATTTATTCAAATAGATATTTTATTTGTGGGACCCACAAAACAATACGGAAGTACACTGTTATCTTTTATGTAGGATTGTTTTATTAGGGCTAAGGTGGTTTTTGTATGTTTAATCATAAATCTTGGATGATTGTTTATATGTTTAATCTTAAGAACTATGTCATTTTCATGTTTTGTTTTTTTTTTTTTTTTAAAAAAAGATTTTATAAATTGTTATCTACCAAAGAAAGAAAGTGTTTGGTTAGGATACATGTTATTTACGTGTTGTGTTTGTTTTCTTGATTCCATATAGATATCATGTCAACATGCATCTTACATGTTGAAAGCTATAGTATCGTGTTTTGTAATCTAGGACACAACTTTTAGCAACATGTATAATGAGATGGATTTATTATTATTTTTTTTGTTTAAAATTTTGATTTTGCAAATCTGTCTAAAAATTGAAATGTAATTAAGTAAGAGTATAGAATTTGTCATAATTCTTGATTTTTCTTTGTTAGAAAATCTGTGTTTCACAACTAATTTCAATTTTGAAGAAGGAACAATGCAAAAGTATTTATATTTTGAAGTTGTTATGGTCATATTTGTATTTTGGGTTAATATTTATAACACATAAAGATCTATTTGTGTTTTTACAAAATCAAAAGAACAGAATTTTAGATAAAAAAAATGATTCTTCAGATATATAAAATGTAACTAAGTAAAATATGGAAATAAAAAAATAAGAAAAAAAACTATTGCTTTGTTTCATTGAGATGTTCAAATGGCACTTAACCAAATATTATAGAGGACAGTTTGAAAGTTGTAACTTGTAAGGATTAATAATAGACAATCAATAAATTTAAATTAAAAGCTTGTTAAAAAACAAGTATTCCATTTATTCTAAGCTAATTGAAAAATATGTTACACATACTTTAAAATATAGTAAAATACAATAATTAAAGAATGGCTTAATAATAAAATGCCAAGCATTTAATATGGTAGTTCCATTTTATTTCCGTTACAAGAACCATAAAAAGCATTTTATTAAAAAAATTAACATGATTTATAACAAAATTAAATAGTATCTCACAAATTGCACCCCACAATAAGATTTTCATACCTACCAATTGATATGTTTATTTTTCATACGTATTTTCCTCTTATCCTTGAAAAAGACACTTTATGGATAGAATAAATTCGAAAAGTCCTTATTTTATCATAAAAAAATAAATGGTTTAGTTATTGTTGTTGTACCAAAGTTTAAAATCATTTAAAAGAATTGTTGGATTTATATTAAAAAATTATTAAAATAGGGGATGGAGGACACTCTTTTCATAATGTTCAGAAAATGTTAAAATAGAATTTAATTTAATTTTTAGATTTGCTTTACGATTTTGAAATTATAATAATTAAATGATTTAATAGTTTCGTTTTCATAACAAGTAAGCGAAAAGAAAATATAAAAGGGCAATTTCAAATTCAGCCCAAACAGATCTCCATTGTTGTTCACCATCAGGTTGTTAAGCAGTCTCTTCCCTTAGAAGCAAGCTTTAGATTCTCTCTACAGAGACTTGATTGTGTGTGTGTGTGTGTTTTCTTTCACGAGTTCGATCGATTAAACAAACGAATTCGTAATTAATCATCGATACCACTAGTTTTCTCATTGTTCTTTCGTAATTCAATTGAAAATTTTGAATTCGTTCGTATAAACCAAGGATTTGGGAGGAAATTATGGATAGCGGCCCTCCGTTCCACAGGGAGGGCTTGCCAACGACAATATCTAAAGCTGAAAAGCAACGTTGGAGATCATCATCGTCATCATCAAAAAGTTCTTCTTCTAGACCTTCAATTCTATTGGCTTTCTTCTCTTGTCTCGCTTGGCTTTACATCGCCGGAAGGTATCCGCTCTGTTTAGTATTGTATGTGTTTGATCAATTTACGTTTTTGTGATTTGATAAATCAGTACGAGTTTTGTGCAAGTGTGTCTGTGTGTGCATTTATGACTGGACCTCCATGTTTTCTGCGATTTGATGATTTGTAATGAACTGAAACTACAGAACTCTAGGATTTTCTGACATGTTCCTTTTGTTTGCTTCTGAATTTTATGATGATCGTATTCTTTCCTGAAGGTGTGCTATAACTAATAACTGTGAGTGCAATTTTTACCTTCGTCCACTGAAATTTGAATTTAGGGCTTGCTGATTGGATTCTACTTTCGTAAACGGACTTTTATGCTATCTGTGATTTGATGATTGAGATGAACTGAAACTACAGAATTTTATGATTTGTAGACAAGTTCCTTCTGTTTACTTCTGATAGTTTCTCTGATCATCTTATTTTCTGCCTATGTGTATGTAATTTTGCTTTTGTCAGCTGAAATCATAATTTAGGGCTTTGATGATTGGTATGAACTTATATAAATTACTCAGGATAGTTGTGGTAGATGTGTTTTCATTTTCCATCTCTTAAATCAAAGATTACTAATTACATCATAATTAGTAATTGACAATGGATTTGAGAAATGTTCATTATTGATCTTACCAGGTTGTGGCAAGATGCTGAGAACAGAACATTATTGGCTAATCTGCTCATTAAGAATTCTTCCCAGGTTTGTTTTTATAACTTATGACTCTTGATAATTCATCATTAACTCACAAAAATTATTAACAAAATACCCTCTATCCTTCTTTTACTTTCTTTATGTGTTTTTTCAATAATGGCAGAGACCAAAGATTCTTACTGTTGAAGACAAGCTAATGGTCCTAGGATGCAAGTAAATTTTTGGTCTTCCTATTTCTCTTTTGCATTATGTTCTAGAATTAATTTGATGAGTTATAGTTAAACTATCTTGTGGGCACAATCGTCTTTCTCAGGGATTTAGAGAGAAGAATTGTGGAAACTGAGATGGAAATAACACTAGCAAAAAGTCAAGGTTTTCTTAGTAACCAATTGAAGTCATCTTCTAACAAAAAGTTTCTTGCTGTGATTGGCATTTACACTGGATTTGGTAACAAATTAAGAAGAAATGCTTTCAGAGGATCATGGATGCCTGAAGGTGTCATGACAAAATAATATTCTAAATTTCTTTCTAATGTTACTCTATGTTTAACTTATATATACTAAAAATACAATCTTTATATTATAATAATGAGAAATTAACTTACAAAGCCACTTGAATTTAACAGGTGATTCTTTAAAGAAGCTTGAAGAAAGAGGAATAGTCATACGTTTTATCATTGGCAGAAGGTTTTCCAATTCACTCCTGTTCTTATATTCATTCTCCTTTTATATCCTTTTTTTTTTATACTTTTTGACAATGTTAAACTTAATATTTAATATTTATTATTAAAATTAATATCTTAACAAGGAACTTTTTAAAATTTCAGTCCTAATCGTGGTGATAGCTTGGATCGCAACATTGATGAAGAAAATCACACAACAAAAGATTTCTTGATTCTTGTAAGTTTATAAAATTTTTATTTTAATTCTAATTAAGTATTTCATGAAAAATATTTAATTACATAATTTTCAGGATGCTCATGAGGAGGCTGAGGAAGAATCACCTAAAAAAGCAAAATTGTTCTTCAGTACAGCTGTCCAAAATTGGGATGCTGAGTTTTATGTAAAAGTTGATAACAATATTAACCTTGATCTTGGTAAGAAAAATACAATATATATTTAATATTTTCATTCTAAAATATACATTTTATATAATCATTTTTTTTTTGGTTTTCAGAGGGTTTAATTGAGCTTCTAGAAAGTCGTCAGGGGCAAGATAGTCTTTACATTGGATGCATGAAATCCGGTGAAGTAGTTTCTGAAGAGTAAGTACCCTTTATTGTTTACTTTAATATAAATAACTTCTATTTTAAAAAATAAAAAATAAAATCTTTTTCTTTTTTCTCAATTCAGAGGAAAGCAATGGTATGAACCTGATTGGTGGAAGTTTGGTGATGCAAAATCGTAAGTAATTTCCTCTTTTTTTTTTTTTTTTTTTAAAATCATGTAAAATAACATATCAACAACATACATACATACATACATACATACATACATAATATTTTTATAAAAATGTTTATTGGGCAGGTACTTTAGGCATGCAGGTGGCTCACTTTATATTCTATCAAGAAATTTTGCTCAGTATATTAACATTAACAGGTTAATTATTTATTACTTAGTAGTATGATTAAAAAAGTTACATTTATGTTTTAATTCGACTCATAAAAGAATAATATATATATATATATATTTTTAAATTCTTTTAGTGCATCTTTGAAGACATATGCTCATGAAGATACATCAGTTGGTTCATGGATGATGGGGATACAAGCAACATACATAGATGACACCCGTGTATGTTGTGGCACTTCACGACAAGGTATACTCATGCTTAATTTTTATTATTTTTTATAATTTTTTTGCGTAGTGTTATAGTAATGTATTTTGGTGGTTCGTTTTTTAACCAGATAAAGTATGCTCTTTGGCTTGATAAGAGAAGGGTTATGACTTATGAAGAATATTGCTCAAATTGGTATGTGTTTTTAGGATTTTTGTCACATAGTTAGATGTAGAGAAAAGGTTTAGCAAATCATTTTTGGATGTAGGTTTTGACTACATCTTTTTAGAAAAAAAGTTGTTCCTTTTTTAATATGGTAAAACTTTTATAACTTTCTTGATAGTTTTAGTGCATTGAAATCATGATTCATGAGCTTATTCATCATCTCTCTAAAAAGTCATTCATTTTCTTATTATGATGTCTCTCTAGATAAAGTTATATATAAAGTTTGTATCTTTTGTAGACCGAATAAAACGTTTGGTATTAGAGGAGTTGGGAGGAAATAACAATGACAGATAGGTAAACGGTTAGTGTCTTAATACATTAATTTAGGTTTTTTGGCTTAATCTATTAAGTAATTTTGTTCGGATTAAGTAAAAAAGAAACAATCATATATAACTGTTGAGATTAAGTACTTAACCGATTAAGATCATTAAGTAAAAAAGAAATAGACACCAAGCTTTGCTTTGATGTATATATAAATACACATGTATGAAACTAGATTAGATGAATATATAATCAATCATACACGTTCCACCTTATCTGCAAGCTGGAACGTGTATGTTAGGTATATGTACAAATACAATGGAGAAAGGAGCAACCATGATCGGACTTCCAAGCTTTACTTGTATCGGATCGAGAGATGGAATAACCCCAGTTGTTGAATTTACAGATAATTCTTTCCCATTTAGAAGTACCGTGTTACTGTTTAATTTCCCATTTTTTGCAGTTAGGTGATACTCCTCTCTTCTAAACAACTCTCCTTCGGGATTCCGTGAGGATTTTGTCTCTTGTGTTGGTTTTAAATGTGGTGTTGACGCCATTATAATCGTCACATTTTCAATCAAAACGCCAATTTCAGCTTTTATAGATCCGTCAAGATTGATCAATAACAAAGTCAACCCATCCCGCTAAATATTATACAGATACATAAATAATCATAAATAATCAGATACTAGTAATACAAGGTGAAAGTAAAAAGGTAACAATATAGTAAAGTAAAAAAGAAGAATCCAGTAAAAGACTACTCTTATACTACCTAGTTGCTTTGATTTACTTTAAAGGGAAAATTTCACAGTAGTTTGATTTTTTGGGTTTAACCACCGAAATAATTTTTTCTATGTTAACCACTAAAAGTTTTCTTTTATTTTCAAAAAAAAAAATAAATAATATTGCTTAAAACTTTGAATTCTATAAAAACCATGAGAGTTTGAATATTATTTGATTTAACCGTTTGAAGAAAATTTTACTTCCGACGATAGTTTGAACTTTTTTTTTAACAAAAGCATCATTAACCAAAAATAATAATTTTCTGTTTGTTATTTGCAACTCGCTAATGGAAAAAATGTGGATTGTTTTTTTTGAAAAAAAAAACTCTCAATGGTTAAACTAGAAAAAAATCATTAACCAAAAATAATATTTTTCTTGTTTGTTATTTGCAACTCGCTAATGGAAAAAATGTGGATTGGTTTTTTTGAAAAAAAAAAAAACTCTCAAATGGTTAAACTAGCAAAAAATCTGATGGTTAAATAAAAAAAATAATCAAACTATTGTAGTTTTTATAGAATTTGACCAATTTTAAATATCAACATAATTTAGGGTAAACTACAAAAGAGACGTTTTAGCTTATTTTATATGGATTTATCCGAAAAGGAAGTACATGCTTACCGAATGTTTAGCGCAATGAGCATAAGAGCGTATCTTCTTTATGCCATTAAAACTTGCCGAAAGAACACGTCTCCCCATAAGTCGATGCCAAAGCAATGCACTATAGTAATCAGGATTTGGCATAAAAGTAGCGGTATTAAGAAGTCCATAATTTCCTCCTATTAATGTTTGTCTACAATAAGTTTTTGTATCATATAATGATGCCATTCCCATTTGATCCAAATACCAAAAGCTAAACACGAAAGCATTTGACACTCGATTACGACCACTATTATAAGCACCTCCTGCTTCACCTACCCAAGCAACCGTTTGACTTCCCGATTCCTTCAAAATATTTTGAACATCTTTAAATGATTGTGATCCTCCATCTAGATACCACGGGTTTAGTATTTTCTTAACCAAGTGAGTATCAACTCCTGATAGACATAATTGTATTAATTATATTCATCAATATATAACTTAAAGTATATTGTAATTTATGATCATGTATAATAATACCTGGTCCAAGATTATAGATGTGTTGAGTGAGAACTTGAAGTGAATTGTTTGATTTCGATACATATTCGGTGAACCAGTTTCCATCAAAGAATCCTCCTGGTCCAAGAACTATCGGTTTAACTACAAAATTCTTGTACATTTTTTGCACTAAATTTTGGAGAGATATCGTATCCGATGCGTATTGATCCGCTTTGATACTTGCTCCAATTGCATTAAACCCGCTTAATTCATTTCCTATTCGTACATAATTATTAAAAAGTAAGAGTAAATTATACACTTTGGATAGTCCACGTTGACTTTTTGAACGTGTCAGGTTTTGAACCCTGAAGATTCATATATTTTACAACATCTCAACCACTAGGTTTCCATTAGAGGACAAAAGAAATATATATAAATGATACAACTTTTGTCTATATGATTGTTCTTACCAAGTTCCCAACCATGAATGGTGAAACCTTTCTCGATGGTGTATTTCATGAGGGCTTCTGCATTTGTCGAGTTCCATGGTCCTATGACTGAACCATCCATGTTTGTATTTCTATGACTTAATGCATTCAGCCCGAATATAACCTTTGCTCTTTGAAAATTAAGAGAAACAAAAAATCAAAACCCTGTTACAAAAAATGTCAATATGGTAATGGAAAATACAAAAATAAGATGAAGTTATGATGGTTTAATAAAAAATGTTGTTACCCTGATTTTCGAAAGAAAATGTTAAGTTCATCCCATCTTGACATGGGTAAGCAACCTTGGGTGTAGCCAAGAAATTCGCTAGTGCTTATGGTGAATTGGGAACATGGTTCTTGGTCGCCTTGAGTTTGATACATAACCTTGTTTTGAAGAGTGCCTCCCAATCGAAGTTTCAAAGGAGAAAAGGCTACAAAAGACCAAATTATCCCTTGTGAGAGAAAGTTATTTATCCGATATAAATTGTGTTCGACAGACTATCTGAAAAATTAATTAGTAGTTGATAAGCTAATATTAAATTAATAGCGTTTAGTAAAAACTAGCTGATAAACTAGATAAGAAATATACTGACACAAAATAATATGTTTAGAAAACTTATGGAATGATATATTTGAAAAAACTTGTGGAAAAAAACTTTATGAGCTTATCTATAAGATATCTCAAACAACTTTTTAAAAAACTATTTGAAATATCTTATTGAGTAGTTTTCTAAAAAACGATTTTGAGATATGTTATTGATAAGATCATAAAAAAAAATTTCTATAAGTTTTTCAATGAATTTATCAATAAGATATTTCAAATAGTTTATTAAAAAACTATCTTATAAATTAAAACAAATGAAGAACTTTATTGCAATAAGCTCAAAATTTAAGTTAGTTTATGTACAAACAAATCCATAAATTTTAATTAAAGCGTTTGGTAAACTTTGGCCTTTCGGTTAGCCTTAAAAAAGCATTTCATGTACATGAACATGTATTTTGCATTATAAATATTTTCAATCTGTTCATTTTCTCGTACGCACCTTTGATTGCATTAAACAGGATTTTGTTGTTAAGATCCTGTCAAGAAATTTAAAAACCAAATAAGATTGTAATCAATATACTAATAATGTAACTAAAGATTGTATTATTATGAACGAAATATTAAAGCCTTTTGCAAATAACACAAATAAAAAAAGTAAAATACTAAAATAGATGATTATGTTCTCATGTTTTTGAACCGTTGGTGGATGCAAGATTTTAAATTACTATCCTAACAAAAGTTTATAAGTGATATGCTAAAATAAATATTTTCTTACTTTAGATTTTATTCCTCTATTAAATTAAAGGATTGTAACCTTAGATTAGTATATTATTTTATTTGTAACAAATAATAATTAAATGACATTTGCATTATTAAAATAGAATAGACGTTAAAGTCAATGTTCATGTTTCTGAATTTGAATTCTGTTCTCTTTCTTCTTTTATTTAATAAAAGGAATACTTAAATACTTAAATAACAGTCGACGCCTTTAGGAATGAGTGGACCATGTAAGTGCGCCACTAGTTAACACCTTTAGATTTTTGGTATTTGTCATCCTTGACGGTTAGATACTGCCATTTTAATGGCAACCAAAATATTATCATATTTTTAACATCTTCTTACATATCTAAAAGAAAACAATTAATTCATCAATCACATATTTATTATTTATATTTAATATTAATATAAATTATTTGTTTTCGTTCATATTTAAACAAACAATATAATATGAATGTTCAAATTAGAAGATCATATACATAAATAAAAATTGTTTAATAGTTACTGATTAAATCAGATTTGAGATTTGATCGAGTTAAGGTTCAATTCACTAGACTCAGTATCAAACAGATATTAATATTTTTAATATAATATAATGATTATAAAAAAAAAATTATTTACCCTCACTATGTGATATTAATTAGAATGTTGGAATTTTGTTTTTGAAGGTCACTGTGTCTAGGAAAAAATCAAAGAAACAACGACTTGAATTTTCTAAGTCAACTCTAATGTCAAACAAAAGGTTACATTGAGTTTTTCCTTTTGGTGGCAGACATAGAATTGTTGATAACTGGTCTATTAGTTAATATAGTCCCTGATAACTCCAATAGATACTTTTCTAGAAAAGAAAAAGATGGAAAAAATCATTCCTAAATTTGTATTTAATACTTACAATTAACTTGTTACTACTTGCTATATATAGTTATTTAATTGGTAAGAACATAGTCAAAATGTTATTTAAATTCCGAGTTCGAATTTTTTGTTTATTACTGCCCAATAAATACTCAATGGAATATCTCAATATCTCCCCACTTGGTACTATCCAATGAATAGTTAACGAAAGATGACAAATAATTTACGTCATATAATCTTCTTTCATCATGTAAATGGCTTACATGTTTAAAAAATCAATGATGAAAGTATTTTATTTGATAATATAAACAATACCCATAAACTAAAGAGCAATGAAAAGTGAAAAAAAGGAAACAAAAAATGACTAACCAAATTGAGAAGAGAAGAGTCTCCCCAACTACAAGTTCCATAATCGCATTTTTGAGGTGGCCACCAATCCAAAGTTGCACAGACGAAGTCTTCATCGATGTAAGCAACGGATGTTGTTCCATTTACATACACGCTCCCCACAGCGAATCCTATCTTTTCTGAGAATAAACTCGTTTTGATTAATATGATCATCACCACACACAACCCAAATATGCCGATAAGTAGACCCATCTCAGCTGCAAACAACTTTGGTCTGAGCTCATCGTTTCGCAACTTGATGATCATCTAAATATCTAATGCTCTAAAAGTTGGCAAAGAGAGAGAGAGAGACAGAGAGAGAGAGAGAGAGAGAGAGAGGACAAGAGACTTTGTAAAGACTTTGTAAAGCTATTGTTTCTTGGGCCACTCGTCATATTGTATACAAGGTTTATATAGAAAATCATATAGCTTTGAATGAATCGAATAGATTATCCAAGATTTTAGATAGAGCTATTCACTAAAATCTAAAGTCTAAAATGATCATAAATGGTGAGAGTGTGACATTTATTTGGCATATAACAAATGACCATTAAATTAAAATCGTGAACCATACGTCCTAGTTAACTTTTTTTGAACGTACATGCGAGGTTGAATCGGTGCATTCGCGAGTTAATTTTTTTAGACATAAAATGAACCCACATGCAAATATTTGCTTAGGACTACATATTGAATCATTGGTCATCCACATGTAACCGTTTTAGGGTACGATACTAAGAGCATCCATAATAAACAAAATCTTTTTAATGAAAAAAACTTAAATGAAAAAGTTCTTTGTGATCTTATGAAAGGTGTTTAATTTGATTATCTATGTTTTATCATGTAAAGTTGTATATTTATTATTTGTTGAAAATATATAAGCCCCACCGCATCATTGAAAAAAATCAAGAGAAGAGCTTGCTAATTAGCAAGCTTCTTAAAAGCCTCTAGTTTGAAAAAGCTTCTCCGATAGCCTTTTCATTTTGAAGTGTTTTTTTGGCTTTTATTGTCGATGCTCTAAATAAATTACTTGTATGGCAATGTATATTTATCTACTTAATTAAGGTGTTGGATTTCTACCACATGGACCACACTACTTATAATAATATTCATGTCGATATATATGTTTACGGTTTATTAAATGATGCATACATTTCAAACTTTTTTTTTAAGCAGCAAATGAAATATATATTAAATAAAAAGGGGCTACACTTAGCAAGATGCTAAGGAGCAAAATGCAGAGTACACATCGATTCAAAATGACAATTACATAATAGAATTACAGAGAGAAATGGTGATATGCTCCATTCCACCTAGTTCCCACATCCAAACTTACTTCTATGCTTGCACCATAAGTAGGAAATAGAAATAACATTGTCTGCCACCTTTGTGTGAGATGATTTCAATTCCTTGAATACTTTGTCGTTTCTTGCCTTCCAGATGTTCCAAAGTAGACAGTACACAATGGAGTTGAAGAGTATTCGTTTCTTTGGACAGTTCCCCCAGGATGCTGCAAAGTCAATGACCTCCTTAATATGAGAGAAATCTTGTGTATTGATGCCACACCATTTGAAGATCCACTCCCGAGTCCCTTTTGCAAACTCACATTTAACGAAGAGATGATCGACAGATTTAGGCTCATTGTAACATAGCTGACACAATTGGTTGGGGATTAACACGCCTCTTTCAGCTAGTGTCATTGCTACAGGAATTCTAGATAATGAAGCTCTCCATATGAAGCATCGAACTTTCAATGGTACCATCTTGTCCCAAAAGATAGGTGAACCATGTTGGGGGTTGATCTTTGCATCTATGAATCTTCGCATGATGTTGACAGAATAAGATCCATCCGAATTTAGCATAAATCTGAAATCAAAGGGGGATTGAGGTGGGACTTCCATAGAGCCGATACATAGGTATAACTGCCAAAGCTCAGTTAAGGTTGCAGCGTCATTTGGGACCTGGTTCCAGTTCCAGTTGAATCCCGAGACTGATAGTCTCTCCTCTAACCTGCAAGATTTTACCTTTTCTCTCTTGTATAGGCCCGGGAACCGATCTTGAAAGGGGAATTACCACACCAAGTGTCCTTCCAGAAGAGGGTGTTGGAACCATATCTAGGAATTAGCTTGAATAATGATTTCCAGTCAATGCTAAACTCATCTAAGTGACGAATCGCCTTGTATATGTTGCACCATGCCCCTGTCGATGTTTTCCTTGCAATATACGTTGCAGGTTTCTTTTTTAGGTTATGAATACTTGTTATCGCCTCTCTCCAGAGTTGATCTTGATCGTTTCGTAGCCTCCACCACCACTTTGTGAGAAGAGATATATTCTGAGCTTTTAGCGACCCAACCCCGAGGCCTCCAACCTTTTTTTCTGCAATTACCTTGGACCAGTCGACCCAGTGTAATTTGTTTTTGTCTTGCCCCCCTCCTCATAAGAATCTGCGCCTTAATTTTTCAAGAAGGTCGAGAATGCCCTGTGGCGCTTTAAACAAGGACATATAGTAGGTTGGAAGGCTGTTTAGAACTGATTTTATTAGGGTAAAGCGCCCACCAAATGAAAGAGATTTGGCTTTCCAGATTGATAACTTTGACTTAAACTTATCTACAATAGGCTGCCAATTTTTCTTTAGTGCCATATTCGCCCCAAATGGAACCCCCAAGTAGGTGAATGGGAATGTGCCTTCTGTGCACCCCAGGAATCTTGCCATTCGTTGAACCTCCTGAGAAGATACTCCTATGCCAAAAAGTCTGGATTTAAGGAAGTTAACTTTGAGCCCAGATGATATATGAAAACATTTGAGAATCCGTGATAAGTTCTTTATGCTTTCGCTGCACCATTCACCCGCAAAAATAACGTCATCTGCATAGAACAGATGAGATAGTAATGGAACGCCATTTGGTAGTTTGATACCTTTGATTAACATTTTGCTACAGGCATGGTTGATTGCTATGTTCAAGCCTTCCATTGCTATTATGAAAAGAAAAGGCGATAAGGGATCACCCTGCCGGACACCTCGTGAGATGGGAAATTTTGTTGTTGGGGACCCGTTGACGAGGACTGAAGCCATTGATGATGCAAGACATCCCCTGATCCAAGTTCTCCATTTAGATCCAAATCCCATTTGCATCATAATTGAATCTAAATAATTCCAGTTTATACAATCAAAGGCCTTTTCAAAATCGATTTTGAGGAGGAATAATTTTTTCTTGAACTGTTTGGCCCACGAGAAGATTTCGTTGATTACAAGGGGAGCATCAAGAATGTTCCTACCAGGAACAAAAGCCGATTCAATATCACTGATTACGGATCCAATTACTGATTTTAACCTTATGGCAAGAACTTTGGCGATGATTTTGTACATACACCCGATAAGACTGATAGGTCTATAATCCGCAAGAGAAATTGGGTCACCAACTTTGGGGATCAAAGTTATAAAAGACGGGTTGCATCCTTTTGCCAATGATGCGTTTTGCTCAAAGTATTTAACAAAATTGATGATGTCACCAGACATTAATTCCCAATTTTCTTTTATGATTTTGAAGGTAATTCCATCGGGCCCCGGAGCCTTATCACCACCGCAGCTCCACACTTCATTCTTTATTTCCTCAGGGGTAATATCAATTTCCAGTGACTGGTGTTGGTCCATAGATGGTTGCTTGAAGAGCGGGCTAATTAATAGGGGTTGAATTGGCCAATTTTCTTTGAACTTACTGGAAAAGAACTGGAAAGTTTCATGTTTTATTAGTTCGGGGTTCACCTCCCAAGACCCATTGATCAAGAGTCCGTGGATTTTATTTTTCCTGTTCGTGTTTGCTAGCGAGCCGTGAAAGAAGCGGGAGTTCTCGTCCCTGTCAGTCAACCATTTGATTTTCGCCCTCTGCTGAAGGTCGAGTTTGGCAATGTGTTCTAGTTCCAACAGCTTAGCTTTATCCTCCCGCCATGTTATTCTTTCAGATTCTGTAATGCACCTGGTCTCTGCTGTTCTTTCCATGCCATTCACCTTGGACCTTATTGCGGTTAATGAACCATAACCATTTTTGGAGCCATCCTTCTTCCATTTTCGAATTTGGTTCTTTACATGTTTTAGTTTTGCTCTGAGGAGAATATCAGGTGTGCCATATCCATGAAAGCTATTCCATGCTTTAGTAAACTCTTTACAAAATTCATCATTAAGGATCCACGAATTAAAGAACCGAAATGGTGGGGGCCCAAAATATGCTATGGATGGTTTTAAAACAATTGGGGAGTGATCAGAATGTAACCTGGGCACAGCCGTGACACTAGAAGATGGTTGGGAACAAATGAAATTTGAGCAAACAAGGAATTGGTCAATTTTACTGAATTTATGCCCTTCCTCCCTGTAATAAGTGTATTTTAAGCCACCCATTTTAAGTTCCCTTAACCCAGCGTTGGCAATGAACTGGTTAAAATCTGATGCAGTGTATTTGTAGAAGGCTGAGTTGAACCTTTCGTCCCTCCTGCGAACTGCATTGAAGTCGCCAAAAAACACCCAAATCCTGCCACTGTTCTTGATATTTAGGAGTTCCCCCCATAGTTTTCTCTTGTCAGTGATTGATTGTGGGGCGTATACATTAACAAGAGTGGTGTTTCCTGGGATTCCCCTTCATTTACCTGATATTGCTAGGAAGTACCTGGAGGAGATGACATTTGATTTGAGGAAAGACTTTGGATCCCACATACAAAGTAGACCACCGGATTTCCCTTGTGGAGGTACAATTTCATACTCCACATCGGTGTTACCCTAACAACCTGTGACATCGTCTCTTGATAAGTTAGCGACGTGAGTTTCTTGTACCCCAAAGAAATCAATTTTTTGTTTAATTCGCAGTTCCTTGATCCATTTAATTTTCCGAGACTCACTCAACCCCCTAATATTGATGCTTAGTAAATTCATTTGGATATGTGAATACCACCTTCGCCATTAGCATCCATCTCCAAAACATCTTCCAAGATTCCAGTGTTATCCTCCCCAATCTGAAATCCGGCTTAGTAAATTCATTTGGATATGTGAATACCACCTTCACCATTAGCATCCATCTCCAAAACATCTTCCAAGATTCCAGTGTTATCCTCCCCAATCTGAAATCCGACTTCGTTCCCAATTTTAATAATGCTTGAAATTTCGTTTGAGGAAGAACATATATCCACGGGATCGTCGTTGTTACTTGCAGCCGGGATTGCAACATTTAGATCAATTGATTTATTAGGAACTGAAGTGAGATGGTTACTTGGCTGGAATTCAAGGTCGAGATTACGAGAGACTGATGTATTGAGATCAGAGTTGGGGATAAAATGGATAAGTTTCCCTTTTTGGATTGGGATTTAATGTATCCGGTGTTGGTATACATCATATGGGCTACCGAATTGGTGTGAGAATTGTTATCCATTGGACTGCAGAAATTACCTGGAGATGGTGGGTCATAAGGCCCGATATAAAAATCAGAGTACCTCTTTTAATAAAAATGGTGCGGAATTTGTTCCCAGAAAAACATGATAAATACGTTTGTTGGGGTCGAAATGTTGTAATAGTCGAAGTTTGTATTTAGGGTCTTCGAACATTTTTGTAATGTATTTTACTAGGGCATAATATTCGAAGCTTCATGTTTAGTCCTTAGTATATTTTTTGTACGCTTTTCTCTTCTATAAATAGGGTGGTTACTAGTGTCTTAGTAACGAAGTCTTTACAGAATATTCATTGTACTCTGTAAAATTTGCAAAAGCGTAATAGAGCCAAACAGATCATATTTACATCGGTGTTCAAATCTTTCAATTCTACTTTGAATTTACACTCTAATTCGTTCAATACTTGATTCATTGTCTCATCAATTGGTATCAGAGCAGGAATCATATCTCTGATCTGATTTTCACTTTGTTCAAAAGGTTTTTGAGTCAACTTTTTGATTCAAAAGTTTCCGCACTTTTTGAAAGTGAAAAATTGTTTAGATCTAAGTCTGTGATTCGATTCTGCACTTAATTCATTGAATCGAGTGTTCTAAGAGTGATTGTGATTTTAATCATACAGTTTGTTGTCAAATTCTCAAAGTTTCTTCAAAAATTCTCAAGGATCTATTCCGTACAACAATGGTGCGCCATTCAATCTGAATTCCATGACTTCATTTTCTCATCTTCTAGGATCATCCACCAAAATTCCTATGTTCATCCCTGAGTATTACGATCAGTGGGCTGATCGTATGTAGGATTATCTCAATGGATTGGATGAAGAACTGTGGAATTGCATTTCTGGCAATCTCAATCCACCATCGAATGTTCAACCAATTGGTTCTTCCTCTGGAAACTCTGAAGTTGAAAATCAATCTGATCGTCTGAAAAAGCTGGAGAAAAGGTGTGTAAGAGAGCTAAGAGGAGCTTTGCCTCCAGTTGTTTACAACTACGTGAGGAGTTGTACAACTGCAAAGGAAATCTGGAACAATCTCAAGGAAAAATTTCAGGGAAGTGAGAAGACGAAAGTTAATTCTGTAAAGCAATGTTTAGTGGAGCTGAAGGACTTCAGACAGAAAGATGGTGAAACAATTGAAGTTTATTACGATCGTCTTAATGAATTGATATATCGATGCAATCGATATGGTATCACCAGATCAGCCATGGAATTCAATCTGATATTTGTTATGGGACTTCGAAAGGAATGGCGTAGTGTGAGCATGATGGTGAAGAATCAACAGAGCTTTGATACGTCAACATTGAATGACTTGTACAACCAACTTAAGACTCATGAAAGCGAAGTGAACGAAATAGCTGAAGAATCGAAGGCTATGTTGGGAGGTCCACTAGCTTTGGTTTCGAAGATCTCTGAAAAAGATGCTGAGAAAGATGCTCCGGATGAAGATGAAGGGTTCATCATGAACTCAGATGATGAGGCAGTTGCCTTTTATTCAAACAATCGTGTGAAAAAGTTCTTCAAAAAGCCTTTCAATCCGAAGGCAAAGTCGTCTGAGACAAAAGGGAACTTTCTGAGTAAAAGTGCTGGGGAAGAGAAAAAGAAAGATGAGATGAAAGATTCGAAGCCTGTTGAGGGAAAGTCTGAGAAGAAGCTAAAGGGAGATGTTGGGATTGATTGTCATTATTGCAATGGTGCTAATCACCTTGCTAATGACTGTATGCTTCGAAAGAAGGATGAGAGAAAGAATAAGGTCAAGGATGAGGCGTACTATGCTGAAAAGTTGGAGGAGGTTCGTGCGAAAGCCAAGAATTTGTCTCTGGTTGCAAAGGGTGCGAATGAGGATGAAGATGGTACTTATCAAATCTGGTCATCTGGATCAGATGATGAGGAAATGCGAAATCCAACCCATGGAGCTATGTTTGCAAAAATGGAGGAAGAATCAGAGGAGGAAACATACGAAGTGCATGGAAGATGCTTCGTATCAAAAGCTGCTGACAAATCACCAATGACCACAAAGGTACGAAACATTCTTGAATCTTTTAATATTCCATACATGCTTATAATTCTGAATTAGTATCTTTTGATGAAACTGTTACTTATTTTGATTCGATTGTGGTATCTGCTAGCAATGAGGCTAAGAAGCTGTCAATGCAATTGCTAGAGACACAGAAGAAATTAGATTCGAAAATCACTAAGATAGATTGTCTAGAACTTCAAATAACGAATATCATGGTTGATAGGGACAATTTATCTAGTGATAATAAACTGTTGTTAGCACAAAGAAACATTTACTGTAATGCTGCTAAAAGATTATATGGGAAAATAACTGAACTTCATCATTCATGCGAAATCAGTAAAGAACAACATAGAAAATTGCTGCCATTTTTAGCTTATGAAAGAGCTAAGGTAGATAACATTTCGTATGACTGTGAAAAAGAAATAGCTGATTTTGACAAAGTTCCGAATGACAAGTATAGATATGGAATTGTCAAAGTTGATGAATGTCTTGATTCGAATGATTTAGTTAACATTGTAAATGATACTTTGACTAAATCTGAACAAATTCACATTTTGAAAAAGACTGAGAATTCATCATCTGATTCTCAATCTAATTTTGCTGATATTGAAGATAATTCTGACAATATTAGTGAAATTAGTGAGCTTGAAGATGTTGATTGTTCTCAGTTGTCTATTGTTAATGTTGCTTCGAATTCTAAAGGGAAAGAAAAAGTTAAGGATTTGATAGTTGAGAAAGAAACTGATATTCCCTCAACTTCGAAAGTTAGTGAAATGAACTTCGTGGATCTCAAAGATTACCAAACTGATGATAGTGATGATGAAGATGTAGAGAAAGTTTCGAAAGAAAAGAAATCTTCAAAGAAAGAAGTAATTCCACGAATAGTTGTTGACCAAGTGTATGGTGATACACAAAAGTTCGAAAAAGTGATGAATGAAAAAGGTGAACATTATCTTGAAACAAACACGGTGGTTTTTCCAAATTTCAAATGCACAGATGATGTCATTTTTCCAAATCAAGTTTTCGTAACTACCGGAAATGTTGAGAATATCAAACCAGAGTTCAAGAAGATGGTTGAGGAGGATAATTCAAAAACAACTGAGGAAGGTTTTTTCGCAAATCAAAACACAGTTGAAAACAACTTAACAAAGAATTCATATATTTTTCAACGACAAAAACCACAAAAACAATGGGTTGAAAAATCAAAAGTTGAAAAAGAGAAAGTAATTCGTGTTGAAAAGGAAAATGAAAAAGTTGTCAAATTAAACTCTAAGGAATTTAAAGATCAAATTGACAAATTTTCGAAGGAAAACAACATTTCAAAAAGACAAGCACGAAAGAAAATATTTTGGCAAAATATTGAGTCTCAAAAGATGTCTGAATCACAATCCATCAAAAAGGTTTTCAACGTTAAAAATGATTCTTTTTCAAAAACTCAACAATCATCTCAAACAAGGTCTGAAGTACATAAGCAAACAAAGTTTTCGAAAGTTTCTGAAACTAACAAAACAAGAAAATTTTTCAGAAAGATCCAATTCAAATCAAAAAGTTTTTCAACGTCAACATTTTAAATCAAAAATTGATACATCCTATGTTTACTCTTATGTTACCAAACCCGAAGTTGATTTTGTACCTCAAAAGTCAAATTTTCCTAATTACACAAAGAAAGAAACTATGAGGACGTCACGGGAAAAAGGAATGACTTCAAGGAAGAACATTGATCATTGGCTTGACGGGGAGAGGAAAAATGTATCAGTCAAATAAATATTCAAAAGAGCAAATTCATGAAGCATACGAAAAGTATGTCAATACTTCTTCGAATGGCAGCTCATCATCTAAGGATTCGAATATCTCAGTCAAAACATGGAGACCTGTCACAAAAGCGAAGACTGTTCAATCACAAACTCAAGATGCGAAGGGAAAAGTCAGTGAACATTCGAAACTATCAAACACTTATGTTTCAGTTCCTTTAGATGATGAAGTGAACTTAATTGATAGTCTCAAAACCAAAGTTTGTGATTGGGTTAAAAGTTCTTCATTTCATTCGAAATTGAAATCTAATTTCCAAGGACCCAAAAAGCCTTGGGTACCTAAAATTTTTCATTGATTGCAGGTATTGTGTGACGAGCAATATGATAACAAATGGTACATTGATAGTGGTTGCTCTCGTCACATGACTGGAAAGAAGGAGAATTTAAGAGATTTTCGAAGTCTCAAAAATGCTGGAGTAGTAAAGTTTGGGAACAATCAAAAGTGTCAAGTCATGGGATATGGAAAAATCACAAATGGACAATTCACAGTGAATCGTGTTGCATATGTTGAAGGTCTTCAACATAACTTGATTAGTGTTTCTCAACTTGTTGTGGGCACTGGCAATCAAGTTCTTTTCAACGAAGAAGGAAGTGTTATTTCGAATGTTAACACAAACGAAATATTACTGAAATCTAAAAGGAAAGGTGACATGTTCACTTTGGACATCAATCCAATTGTAGGCAAACCAGCAGTATGTCTTCTTTCGAAAGCTACATCTGATTTAAGCTGGTTATGGCATCGAAGACTTTCACATCTCAACTTTCGAAACATAAATAAACTTGTGGTACAAGATCTGGTAAGAGGTTTACCTGTACTTAAATTTGACAATGATTCTTTATGTGCAGCTTGTGAAGTTGGCAAGCAACATAAACAAGGTCATCCAATCACAATTGATTCGAAAATTGTTGCACCTCTTGAGTTGATACATATTGATTTGTGTGGTCCTTCGACTGTTTCAACTCTCAACAATAAACGGTACATTTTAGTTATTGTTGACGATTTTTCCAGATTTACGTGGGTTTATTTTCTCAGGCTCAAATCCGAAGTTGCACAAATTATGATTGACTTTATCAAAAAGATGGAAACCACGTTGAAGAAGACTGTTAGAAAAATCAAGAGTGATCATGGAACTGAATTTAAGAACAAAGTTCTTGATTCATTTTTGGTGGACAAAGGAATTTCGCATAATTTTTCA